GTTAACATACAATTAGAATGTGACACACCTTCATAAAAAATATATTGGGATACATATTACAAAATAGCACCAAAAATAATAGCACATGGGGTTAGGTACATCATGTCATAATAATACTGAATGGCGGTAAATACATCATATCATATAATAATAAATGGTGTTACATACATCATATCATATAATAATAAATGGTGTTACATACATCATATCATATAATAATAAATGGGGTCAAGTACATCATCATAGAATAATAATGATTTGAGTTAGATACCTCATATCATATAATAATAATAATAAATGGTGTTACATGTTACAAAATACACCCTCACATCGGTAGATAAAATGCACACTCAAAATTTCCTTACAGAACTCAAATTTCAATGTTCATAGATTATGAAAGTTTCTTTTACGCGATTGGTCAAATGCTGACAGGACACACTGAGATTTAACATAGATTTCTCAAGCTAGGACATAGACGAACGGACCCCATCAAGTCAAAGGAATGATTTGTTGCCCTTAATCTTAAGAGTTATGTCGCACTCGCGAGAGGCAGCACCCTTCAAGGGACTCCGAACGAGCGGGTATTCCCAAGAATTCAATGCTAACGAAACGGTCCTCATGAGAACACCACCAAACCAAAACTGTCTGTACTTATGGCATTTGCCATGTAGAAGTAATAGCACCATATTTATATGCCCGAATACTCCCTGAAAGTCACGAACTCTACACCTATATACCAACAACCCCCAGCCTACGTAGGACTTACCAACCAGAACTTGAGAATTCACCACTGGTATCTTTACTCATACTAGTAACAGATACCCTTCAGATGATTGCATAACTGCCAATACATCTTCCAATCTCTGTCTTTACTGCAAATTGACCCTTCCTCTGCAAAATACTTTTAACCCCCCAAAAAAAAAATCCTCCATTTTTTTTTTTCTTCTTCAATTACCAAAAGTTACCTACAACAGATTGTGCACTTCACTACCCATCAACAACCAAGGAGGTTCACTTACAAAGCCCACTGTTTCTTAAAGATCCAGTCTAACCACTGGTTTTCTCCTCCTTTACCCATGGCTTTAGCGAGTTTAGCCAGAAGTGCTTGGACTTTTGTTGCTAAATCAACAGCGGCTTTGGCCGTCATGGTCCCCTTATTTGCGTTAGCATCTGCCATTGTGTTACAACAAATCAATACTACAGGTATATCCCACTGTAAATACAATACATGCACAGTGCTCACTCAAGACCCACGGACTGGTACTGATTTTCTGCAATACGACTAACACTCCATGCATCAACTATTCAAACTACTGTTCAGATTATTAATCTCCCCAAAGATACTATTATGGCATCAAAAATTCACTTAGACACTTTGCCATTCACAGACTCAGTATGGTGCAACACTGCGTGAACACTTCACGAATTTCCGTACTCACAATTCTGGGTCCATACACTTGTATAACATTTTCCATATACCGTATCACCATAAGGTCCTCACATATATAATACTGTATTCTGAAAGTATACTGGCATTAGAGTTCACATAACATACGTTACACAAAATAATGACCCGTTAGCACCTGGTTAATATAACTTTAAAATTATAGCGTATACATAGGAATATTAATAGTAGGAACTGTAAAATGCCCCGAGATATTAAGTAAATGGAATATATATCCTACCTAACACATAACTAAAGAATATTACAAATGCAGAATTAGCATCCACTTAACCTTTGCATATAGTGCAATGCTTCTGTTAGCACTCAGAATTAAAACACTGGGCACTCCCACGATGGAACATTTCACAACTAGTGCCACGGCCCAAACATGTATTCACTGTCTGTAAGTAATACTGAGTTAACAACAGAAAAAAAATTTGGGCAGATTGTTACATATCAAAATTCTTCCAATATTAATGAACCTTATTCACACTCTACAAGTTATTGTTGCAGGTTTCCTTTTACTTTAAACAAGACTTTTTCTAACCTAACTCCAAGGTATTTCTTTGAACTTATTTCACTTTCTCTGCAAACCACCACAAAAAGCTGTACCTCGGAAAAATATGGAACAAAATCATTAGCAATCTGAAATACTCATTAGTTACAGTGGAATGGTTATTAAATACCCGTACAGAGAAATGGTTATAACTCAGTTAAACTACAGTATCACAGTCATTCCTCCCAACTCGATACTATGTTCATTACATCACCATAGCTGCCACCATTTATGAGGGCTTGAGCTGCCACCATTTATGAGGGCTGCTACTGCCACCCTTCATGAGGGCCTGTGTGCCAGTAACAATTCCTTTTACTCTTATATATCACCATTGGTAGCGTGACGATAGGAGGCTCGTGGGTAGGTGTAATGATAGTATCAAGCAATAGGGAAGAAATAACGGTAAATACTGTAGGTAAATAATATACACAATTATACAAATACAAAGTTTATTTAAACATGAATATGAAATTAGAAGAAAAAATTGGTTTGTACTAACAGACGAAATCTATTACTAGGCCCTCAGGCTCAACATACTCACACCATTACTGGGTGGACATATTCAATACACTTCCAACCCTACTGGGTGGACATACTCAATAGCACAACTATGATAGTCACTTAGCACCATAAATACTAGGCAACTGCCACTACAACACTCAGTCGTCAGGAGTGATACTCAAGCAACAGCCATGGGGTCCAGCCACCATGGAGTACTATCTGACGAACTCTGGAGATCCCAGTGGGTTAATTCCACCACACAAATATAACCCTACTGAGTTAGACACTCATCCACCAATGATGGGGGCTGGTAGTGGTGTGTGGCTTGGTGGTCCGGGGTCACCTCGTGGACCGAGCGTTAGGGCCAGACGAGCCAGCTATGGGGGCTATAGGTGGTCTGAAGTGTCTGACGGCCGGGTCTCACGAAGGTAACTGATCCTACTGGACCTCGGACATGTCCCCAGACATAGTGGATACAACATCCACCCTACAGACACGGCCTAGGCTGCGTTAGGGACCTGTATGGATGAAGGGACGGGCACTTACTAACTGGTGACAACAACAACACGTTTCAGGGGACGTTAAAGACGTAAATATGACTTTACTCAGAGCATATCAACTACGTTACTGTAACACTTGCACAATCAACTATTAATTGGGTCAAATCACTTAAAGAAGGGCAAATTACAACACAGCGTGGAATGGCATACCTGTATGGATGAAGGGACGGGCACTTACTAACGGTTAAAATGCCCGCGGCGCCCTCACTCAAACTAGGCCAGGGAGTCCAGCTACTCCTATTCCAATGAATTAATTTACGGTACCCTCTGACGTTGAAATTGAGACTATGAACTCATTTTCATTCTCTACTATTATCTTCACTAACAATGCTCTGACTCAGCTATCGAAAGCAGAATTAAATTGATTACAAAGGAATGGATGGCAACAGGTCCCAGCATACAGCGTCTGCTCCCATAGACAAAGGCGGGGGAAACAGAGAAAACGGGGGACGTTTCCACTGGGGGACTCGGAAGGTTTTGTGGACGTTTGAGCGTAATATGAATCCTTAAGGTTTTCAGGTTAGCTCTTATCATGACCATTACAGTACAGTACAGTACTGTACAGGTATTTCACTTTATTCCACCTAAAGAATTTTGAGAATTTTATGATTGCAATCAATCGCTTAGACAATTCTAAAACACTTTTCTTCTATGACGTTTCCCTTGGAAATTATATTTAATTTGCATATTGTATAACAACTGTATACTTATCCATCATTGAGGCTTATGTCCTGTCCTAGGCCTTTTGTGTTTTGCAGCTTTTTGTGATAATGTCCATTCATTGGACAGTTTAGTGCAAAATATCCTAGCCACTCTGCAGCACAAATTAGCTTATGATTTTATGAAGAAACAGATGTTGGGTGAAATTTCTGACCAGTGAAATACTTGTCCACCAATAAGATTGAAACAAAATCTGATTGGCTTTTGTGCTGCACTTAGTCGCCAACCATTGTTAGACAATACACAAATCCAACATAGTAACAACTGTCTACTCCTTCATGAAGTTAAAGGATACATTTTAAATCTATGGCTGCCATATAATCAAATAAATACAACAGGTTAGGATGTTTTTTTCTTCAAAAGGTCATTAGAAAATACTTTTTCACATAGGCACAGAAGGTAGTTGTAAGGAATGATCAACCAACCCAAGCTGTGGAATCAAGAACAATACTGGGCTTCAAAATAGCCCTTGACAAAATTACCAAGTAGTACAGTCAGTTCTGCTATAACGCAATAGTTGTGTTCTTGTAAAACATCATGTTATAGAAATTTGCGTAATAGAAATAACAGGGTTTCTGGAGAAAATAGGGTTAGGTGCAGATTACTACTCGAAATAAAAAAAAATTTAGTAGTTAGCCTAACACAAAGGATAGCACAGTCTAAATAAATGTTACATTCATATCTAATAATGAAATCATGCAGTAGATGTAACACTTTACCTTGAAAAAATATGAATATAACTTTATGGGGGAGAAGGGTGATTTTGAGGTTGACAACATCGAGCTTCTCTTCAAGTGTTATAGCCTTTCTTTTACGATCAACACCGGGAATGCGATCACCAGAATGCTTCTTGGAGATATTCTTCTTTACCATATTCACAGTTAATACCACAAAATTGGAGAAATAGTAAGCAAAAATCGCGTTACAGCAAACAAGCGTTCATGTTATACAAATATCGTTCCTCTATTCATAAATCGCGTTAGAGCCAATTCGCGTTGTCAAAACACACGTTATAGCAGAACTCACTGTACAATGGAGGGATCCTACACAGGCAATTGATCTCCTTCCCTCAGTATGGCTACCTCTAGTAGTTGGCCATTAAGTAAATAAGGTCTGTTGAGACCTACAGTACTGCACTTGATGTTAGAGTTAGATACAGTACAGGGTATATCAGAGTTCACAATATTTCACAGCGAAAAAGAAAAGTTAACATTCTCACCTTTTGCGGCTGGTACAACCTTCCACATCTTGACGCCCCCGTAAGATGAAAACTGCCCCATTGACAGCTCCATAAAGTATAGTGGCTACAGGATGGTAGATACAGAGATATAGTTTTATTCCACACTTGGTACATCAGTTAAAGTGACATACATCTAAATACAACAGACAGTATTCACAAGTTAGTTGGGAAGTATAGTTATAGATGTCTTAAAGTCATTTAGATTTCCTCCATAACCTGTACATCAGTTAAGGTGATAATGTACAGTAGTACAGTAAAATGTAAGAATGAGTGCACTTAAGGCCATAAGAGAATACAGTGGTGGAATCAGGGCATAATTTTGGACATATATATATATATATATATATATATATATATATATATATATATATATATATATATATATATATATATATATATATATATATATATATATATATATATATATATATATATATATATATATATATATATATATATATATATATATATATATATCACACAGTTTTATTTTGTTTCTCAGTCTCTTTCTCTTTCCAACTCACCCTGCCAATGAAGGTTAGGATGAAAAGGTAGGGGATGAGAAACGCTCCACCCCCGTTATCATAGGCAGTCTTGGGGAACCTCCACACATTGCCCAGCCCCACCGACATGGCGATGCACGACAGGAGGAACTCTATGGGTCGTGCCCACTGCTGCTTTTCTTCCTCTTCAGTGTGTTCAGGTAGGTCCTAGTGTGATGAACATGGAATAGAGATATGGGAAAACGGGTATGAGTGAGAAAGTGTGTGTATGTCTGCAGTATTTGTTTGTGTGTACATGTTTATTGGCTAATCTAAAGGAGAAGTAGTGCTGTAGATGCTTTAATTTAGCCGGTATGCCCTTAGACTTCCAAACCACGAATTTGAATCCACTGTCAGCAAGGTGTGGTGACTTTTTCTCTCTTCACCACTGATCGGCTCGTTAGCTGCTTGGGCGATCGGTCATGTCTCTGATTACTTTTCCTTTTCTTTTATCCTCTTCACCAAATGATCGGCTCGTAAGCCGCTTGGGCGATTGGTCACGTCTCTGTTACGCGGAAATGGGACAACTGGCCGCCGCCATCTGGCCGCAGCCCAACTGGCCGCGGGAAACTCGCCGCGGCCGACTGGCCGCCGCGGACTGGGGGTAAACTGCAAACGCCTAATTTTGCGCTCTCAAGGCAGGTTAGGTTAGGTTAGGTTAGGTACTTCATAAAGAAATTTTAATCCTCTTTTTTTTTATCACACTTTCATCAATTTTGTCAACAAAAAGTTCCATATGGCGGCGAGTTTCCCGCGGCCAGTTGGGCTGCGGCCAGATGGCGGCAGCCAGTTGTCCTAGACCCCTGTTACGCACTGTTGGCAAGTACTGGGCATGCACCAGCTACTGAATGTACCTGAACCTCCTCCAGTGTTGGTCAAGTCTTGTCTTGGAAGAGCTCACACGCGGTGCCGTCACAACACTCTCTGGTAGATTGTTCCAAGAGTTCACAACTCTCACTCCGAAAAAGTTTGCCCTCACAGTTTTCTGGACTTGTGGCTTCTTCAATCTTGAGCTGTGACCCCTTGTGTGGCGAGCGTCCGTCAGCTCCAAGTAAGGACACTCGACTGAGTAAGTGCCCCTTGAGATGCTTATACAGCTCAATTAGGTCTCTCCTTGCCCGTCTGTAGTATAAGCTAGGCAAGTTCAGGCGCTCCAATCTCTCAGGGTAGCTGAGGTGCCGAAGTGCAGGCACCAGTCTGGTGGCCCTCCTTTGAACATTTTCAACCAACTGGTAGTCCCTAGCATACCTCGGGGACCAGGCAAGGTGACAGTACTCCAGATGGGGAAGCACTTCACTCTTGAAGATCGTTACGAGGGACGGACCGCCTAGATATCTGAACGACCTTCTTATAAGACCCAATAATTTATTTGCCTGATTTACCCTCTTCTCGCAATGGCCCGAGAACTTCAGCTCATTGTCAACATACACACCTAGGTCCTTCTCTTATTCAGTCTCAAATAGTGCAGTTTCTTCATCCCGTTGGGGCATATGGTACGCCTCCTTACTGTTGGTATGCCCCAGGTGCATCCTCTTACACTTCGTGACATTGAATCTCAGCAGCCATTTCTTCGACCATGCTTGGAGCCCACAGAGGTCCTTCTGCAGCTCTTCACAGTCCGCTTGGTTCTTGATTTCCCGAAATAACTTGGCGTCATCGGCAAACATTTGTATGGAGGAGTGTACAACGTCAGGCATGTCATTTATGAAACAAACAAACAACAGTTGGCCCAATACACTGCCCTGTGGTACCCCACTTGTGACAGGTTACTTGCCTTAATTTACATAGAGTCTTTTACTTTTGTCCTCTTCACCATTGATCGGCTCGTGAGACGCTTGGACAATGGATCACGTCTCTGTTACGTACTGCTGACAAATACTGGGCATGCTTTGGCTCCTGAATGTATCTGTACTTGCTACAGTGTTGGTCAAGTCTCTGGCACATAGTTCCAAGAATTTACAAATCTTTCTCCGAAAAAGTTTGCCTTCACAGTTTTCTTAACTTGTGGCTTCTTCAACCTTGAGCTGTGACCTCTAGTGGGGCGGGCATCCGCCAGCTCCAGGTATAGACACTACTGAGTAGAGCCTTCTGAGATGTTTATAAACTTCAATTAGGTCACTCCTTGCCCGTCTATAGTATAAGCTAGGCAGTTGCAGGCATTCTAATCTCTTTGAGTAACTGAGGTGGCCCTCCTTTGGACATATTCATTCAACTGACAGTTTCTAGCAGACAGGATGACGGGACCAGACCGGATGACAGTACTCCAAAGATGGGGAAGCACCTCACTCTTGATAATCGTTAAGAGGTATGGACTGTCGACATACAGTATCTGAACGACCTTCTTTTAAGACCTATTAGTTTATTTGCTTGATTCACCTTCTCACAATGGCCTGAGAACTTTAGTTCGTTGTCAGCATACTGACCCAGGGCCTTTTCACATTTGGCTCTACAGTATTAAGGTAGTTTCTTCATCCCGTTGGGACATGTGGTATACCTCTTTACTGTTGGTACAACTAAGGTGCATCTCTTATACTTCGTGACATTGAATCTTAGTAGCCATTTCTTTGACAGATCTTACTGTTCATCACAGTCTTTTTTATTCTTAATTTCCCTCAATAACTTGGCATCGTCCACAAATATTTGTGTGGGGGAGTGTATAGCTTATGGCATGTCATTTATGAAACAAAAAACAATATGCCAAATACACTGCCCTGTGGTACTTGGGTGTGTCATAGGAGGGAAGATCAGCTAAAACTAATGGCCCATCACTTTTTTGGTAGATTTCAGTGTATATAAACAGAAAATAATTTCAGTTTCAATATTTTGCAACCTTCTGCTAGGTAAATTTTAGCGTGAAATTTAGCGAAAATCTAACGTACAGCTGCATTAGTGCATTACAATTAAATAGTGAACATTGCTTTCTGACTTCATTCTTTAACAACCCAACTAACAATATTTTTTTCTGTTTCAGATTCTGATGCATTTATAAGTTGATAATATTTGCGATGGCTGCTTGTGTCAGGACGAGGAACCAAAAATCCAGCCATCTCAGTCACTATCTTGGGTCTGGGAGAGAGCTCCTGAAGTCGGAGTTGCCTACATTGAGAGATGCTTTTAGATACGGTGTTTTAATCAGGCAAATCAGTGAAAAGAACCAAAGAACTTACACAAACAAAGACATTGCCAGTGATATGACCAAAGCTGTCTTGGCACACTACACTCTGGCTAACGCTCAGTTCAAGCCTCCAGTCATAACAAGTCAGAAGAAGATTAGTGAGAGACTGCTAGCCAGTTGGGAAAAGGCAAGAGATATCTCTCTTGGTAGAGGAAACTTGTAAAGTTAAGGGAGCTTGCTACAACTGGACCAGTTATTTGACATAATTACTTGCAGCCCAATTGTTCTCATCCTGAGTTTGATGCGATCGTGACTGTAAATCGAGGCCCACCTCTCCCCAGACATTTGCAAGCGTGAACTGAAGATTCCTGTGATCGAACTGGCATTTGTCAAAGCACAGAGAGAGAGAAGACTGGCAGTATAGGGGCTCTCATGATTTCTAGCCAAGATATTCTGGAGTCCAAGAGACAGGAGGCTGCCACAGAGAGACAGAAGAGGAGAAGAGTTGCCGAGGAAAAGAGACTTGAGAAGGCCCAGGGTGAGGTAAAAAAGGCCGATGATTGGAGTCAAGCTGATTCAGAGTTTAATGACTTCCCCATGGCTGATCCGGGTGCTGACCAGGAGAATGGTGACTTTGTCCCTAACCCAGAAAATAATGATCCCAAACCTTCCAGGCATAAGATTCGAAATAGGAAAGATATCCTGAGCATAGCTCTGGCCAGCATGCGACACCACACTGGTCTCAGAGAAACTGCAGAGATAGCAACAGCTGCCTGGATTGACGGTGGTTTGATAACACCTGATGATGTTCACTTGGTGATAGATCATAACAAAGTAAGGAGAGCTCAGGAGAAACTTGTCAGTAACCTAGAAGAGGAAAGCTTGATAAGGGATAAGAGAAAATGGAATCAATTGTTTGTTCTTGATGGGAGAGAAGGGATGACACCAAAGTGTTCATGAAAGTTGGAGACTGATGTTGTTCCCTGCCATGGTGAAGGAGGGAAATTATCACCCTGCTGCAGTGAACCAGGAGGGAAGTATTTGTGGCATTTCACCCCGAGAAAGATGACATCAGGAAACCAGCTGAGATAGTGGCAGATAACACTGTGAACTGGCTCAGAGAGAGGAACGTAGACCAGACCCTGCAGGCCATTGGAGGGGACAGCACCAACACGAACACAGGGTGGCAAGGGGGGTCATACAGTGGATAGAGCGGAAGATTGGGAGGAAGCTGGTCTGGATTGTTTGTGACCTCCACACCAACGAGTTGCCACTCAGACATCTGATCCAGGAGCTGGATGGCAAGACTCTTTCAAACAACAGATGGTCTGGTCCTCTTGGCAAGATGCTGGACTCTGCCACTGAGTTAGAAATAACTCCGAGCTTTGAAAAAATCACAGTTGGCCCTCCACTTGAGCTTGCACATACTGTCATTGACGACCTTGGGAGTACTGACCAGTACTATGGTTGGCATGGATTTGCAGTGCCATCAAACTGGGGTCATGCCTGATAGACTTGCTTACCTGCAGATAGGTCCAGTCTCACATTCTAGGTGGCTCACAACGGCTCTTGCCCTGCAGAATTTGGGCTCTACCATCATAAACTGAAAGGAACCAGCTTCACAACCTGAGATCATTGTCCAATCTATCGAGTGTCTACTTGCCAAATTGGTCTAACACCCCACGTCAAGTCATCGTCTCCAGTCCGAGGGCATGTTCTTCTTCCAGCTGAGCTCCTGAGGAGTCAGCCATGAAGGTTGTTCCAGATTGTGGGAGCAGACTGCAGGATCTTCCGGTATGCCTATCCCGAGGCAAAGTTCTTGCAGACAATGCTCTGCAGTAAAGGGGATGAGAGGAGAGAAGAGTGGCAGTCAAAAAGATCTTGGATATGAGACTTATGAGAGGATCTGGGCATGACGAATCAGTTGGTGACGATTCCTTCAGGGTCAGGAAGACTCCTGAAGTCAATCTAGGTGCCAAGATCCTCACTGATCTCATAGATCTGGATAACATCCAGGCTGGCAGTGAGCCCCCTCTTACCTGCAGCCTCACCA